AACAAGGAAATCCCTACCTCAAATTCGGAGCTCAAATGGAGAAGATGATGAAAACTCAAAGTGCTCCAAACCCCAAGATTTTCGAATCAAAACGTAGCCCACAACGAGATCAACACTTTTTATAAAGGCCCAAGGATAGAGGATCACTCCAACTAGATCAAACCCTAGAGAGAAGTTGGGATTTTAGAGAGAGGTGCTCTCCAATGGAGGTTTTGAAAAAGTAGGAGAGAGAAAGAAAATCAAAAAGTGATCCAAAATGTCACTTTTCGGATTGAAATAACAGTCGCCCCGCTTGAGCGTCAGACACAGACTCACGCTCGAGCGTCAAAAGCGCCGCTCGAGCGCCGGATGCACACCTCTAGAAGTTTTGCAGACCATGGTCCCCGCTCGAGCGGAGGAACAAAAACGAAAGGTCCCGCTCGAGCGTCAAAACTCTCGCTCGAGCGTACGACGACCTGCAGAGACAAAATACTGGGAGATGAATATTCACGCTCGAGCGTCAAAACCCCTGCTCGAGTAGAGAAACAACAACAAAGGGCCTGCTCGAGCGTCAAAGTCCCCGCTCGAGCGTGAAGGCCAAAATTTGGGCATCAACTTTTGGTTTCTAAACACAACCAACCTGTTCCAAACCTACCCAACACAACCCAAGACTCAAATACAACGAGTAAAGGATGGAAATGAGAATATGACAACAACGCCTCCACAGAACCGAGTCCGGAATACAATTAAATAAAGAAAAGGAAAACCGGGATCGCTATAGTTGAATAATCATTTTTGTTAACATTGAACAATCAAAATAGTTGATTTTCACTTTTTTCAATTTTATTTTATATTTTCACATTGCAGTGTGAATGTTCACACTGGTATGAGTTTAGTTTTTTTAAAACTAGTTGTATATTAATTGTAAATTGTGAATATTCACGTTGTATTTTGGTATAATTTTTTTTTGAAAGTTAATTATATATTTGTTGTTTTTGTTACTATGTTTGTTAGTTGAACAATCATTTTTGTTACCATTGAATAATTGAAATAGTCGATTTTCACTTTTTTCAATTTTGTTTTATGTTTTCACGTTGCAGTGTACATGTTTACATTGGTAAGAGTTATTTTTTTTAAGGCTAGTTATATGTTAATTATAAATTGTGAACATTCACATTGTATTTTGGTATGAATTTTATTTTTTCGAAGGTTATTGTATGTTTGTTATTTATTGTGAACATTCACGTTAGACTTTAGTATGTGTTTTGTTTTTTCAAAAATTAATTGTATATTTGTTATTTACCGTGAACATTCACATTGTATTTTGATTTTCATTTAGATTTTTTGTTGCGTTACTTTTACAATTTTAAAATTATAAAAATGTTAAAAATTCAAAATTTGAGATTTTCTCCATAGAATGCGGGAGAGACTTTTTCTTTAGAATAAGGGAGAGAATTTCTCCATGGAATAAGAGAAAGACTTTCTCTTTAGAATAAGAGAGATATTTCTCCATAAAATGAGGAACTATTATTATGTATTAGTTTTAAAATAGAAACATATGTAAAAAAAAAAATAGAAATGATGATTTGGTCATATTACATTAAACAGACTTAACGAAATACTCAAAAAGAATATGGGTTAAATGAAATAAAATACATAAAAAAAGAATTTATCAAAAAAAACTAAAATAAAAAAAATAATTTTAAATCAAAATATAATAAAATTTTAACTAATTGAATAGAACTGTTCGAAGGTTTTTGATTGTAAAAGGAAAAATGATCCAGATCCCCTCTCCCCCCACCTCTGCCAACCCCACACACACGTGGAGGTTGGCGATTGGAGGAGAAGAAAAAATAAAATAAAATAAAATAAAATTGGCCAATCACAAGCCAGTGGGGGTCGTGGGGGTGACCCCCTGTGCGTGGGACGAGGCCAGGGATTACATTCTTCGTACTTGATCCTAGAATGTAAAAAAATTTCCATTCTCGCCCTTGATCACTAGCGGGAAACCCATCACCCCCCATTCCCGCCCCCTAACAGGGATCGGGTTTCCCCGACCCTGAAAAATCCTCGACCAATTTTTTTTTGGGTTTTGTTTTGAGGTAGAGGGAAGAATAGATATACAAAGATACATAGATATACACAGATATATAATCCAATCTTGAGTGCAAGAACAAATATACAAAGATACATACATTCACATACACACACACAGAGGTTGTACTCATCCTTCAGTCATATGATCTAACACTAAACAAACAGTAATAAAAAAACAAAAAATAGAGAAGAAACAGAGATGAGAGAGAGAGAGATATGTATATACTACTACTACAACAACAACAATAACAGTGAATGTCTTCAAAAAAATGTTCATAAAATGTACAGAAATTGATCTTACTTCACAAATCCTCAAATCCGAACTCAGTATCCTTATATCTGTTAAAAAAAACATAGATCTGAGCCTAAGATCTTGATATTGTAGAGAGAATGGGAGGACGAGCGGCTGGAGATGAGCTAAATCGCGGCGGCGAAGAGATTGGCAAAGGCGAGTTTGGTGTCGGTGGGGTCTTTTCATGGCGTTCGATCACTCTGAGATTGGTGGTGATATGAGGAGGGATAGGAGGACAACGAATGGCGTTCGATCACTCAAGTGTGAAATGCATGCTCCCAGAAGTTTGCTTGTTTTGAAGACCACTCGAGCGGCAAAAGTTGAGCTCGAGCGAGAGCATGAGTCTCACGCTCGAGCGAAAATTGAGCAACCATCGAGCGGAGATTTCACACAACCAGTACTTTTGCAAAGTTTACAGACCGCTCGAGCGGGGAAATTCATGCTTGAGTGTCCCTTCATATGTTTTCATGTCCGCTCGGGCATAGGAAGTTGCTTTCGAGCAGGGACCCCTGTTTTTAGCATTTTGACCAAGTGTTTTCAAGTGCATTTTGACATCCTCATTGCATCTTAGGTATTCCTAGGCCAAGATTAAGACCGCATAATGAGGATAAGAAGTAGAGACACACCTAGACAAGAAAGAATTAAGTAATGTTCCCGGGTGTGTAATTCAGTACGTGTTCATTTTGTAACTGTGTAGGTCACGCGCCACAAGACGCCTGATTTGCCCATTCTGTCTATTTGCCTTGAAGCCATCTGTTAATTGTGAGTAATAACCTTGTAAAGTTATGTTACTTACAAGTATTTTCTGACTGATATGATATGATCTATTCTTTGAAATGCTATTTGTGAATCATGAATGAATATCCATTTTTCTGAAATGTATTTGTGGCATCCATAGTTCACGTGGCCCTTGCCCGGGGGTAACAATATCGTGGCTGATATGCACGTGGCCCTCACCTTGGGGTAACAATACTGTGGCTTATGTTCACGTGGCCCTTGCCCAAGGGTAATAATACCGAGGCCTACATTCACGTGGCCCTTGTCTGGGGGTAACAATACCATGGCTACTTGTGCACAAGATGTGGACCTTTATGGTCGTAGGTACCGACTATACACGTGAGTCTCAGGACCAAGTTGATGTGATAGCTAATGGATGTACCACCTATAACTATTATGATTTTCAGATAAGTATGTGAATCTGAATCTATTTCTGATTTGAGATTTGAATATGCATAAGAATCTATTTTTGATATAAACTCTATTTTCTAACTCTGAGATAGATATCATTCATTAAATTCTTTACCTTGTTATTATTCATTGGGCTTCCGCTCACTCTAGTATTTATGTATGTAGGTGACCAAGCACGTGATCAGGGCCAAAGTTGATGGCCTAGGATTCCGTTTTGTCAGCCACCCTTTGCGCCTCCCAAGGAGGTTCCGGACCAAGTCAAGTCGTGTTGCCATGTCTTTTTGAACGTTCAATACTTTGTTTCCTCTTGTTTAATGAATAGTTTGTTTTTGGTTATCTGTTCATGGGGTGACGCATAATTACTGTATCTATGTGACGTCATATGTATGCTTATAAAGTTTGACATTATTTTGTCCCATGTCTGTCTGCACAGCTCAATGGACGTTGTATTTTGTATATTTGCTTCTATAGTCCCTTGATTATACGTCATTCTGTTCAGAGGCCTTTGGTAATCCAAGGATTACTGGCCGGTTGCGATGCTAAACATATAGGGGCGGGTTTGGGTTGTGACAGAGTGATATCAGAGCACGTGTTCTACCCCACACACAAGTCCATATGAGCTTAGGATGTCCTAGTAAGAAGTAGGGGCATTCCATCTGCATGTGTGAGTGTATGGTAATCTATATAAATATGAAAACTGAATTTGAATCTGGGCAAAAAAAAAAATTGAAAAGAAATGAACGAGATTATTCTTATGTTTATTATTATTTGATGTTTCTATAGAAACATGGAGAACGCAAGGGGAAATGATACAAGTGAATCCTCAGAGGCTCGTATGAGCCAAATGGAACAGATGCTTGTTGCATTGACTGAAGCCATGACGCAACAACTAAGACAACAACCTTTGCCTCCTCTGCCTCCGCCAGTACTAGTTGAACCGGACAATAACGACATCATCAATTTGACTAAGAAATTTATGAAAATGAAACCACCGACCTTCTTGGGTGGCATTGAACCATTGAAGGCAGAAACCTAGTTACTAGAAATGGAAAAATTATTCGTAGTATTCCCTTGCTCTGCAACTCAGAAAGTACTTTTGGCTACCTACACCCTAAAGGAAGAAGCTCGGAGATGGTGGCTGTTGGTTCGAAATAACAACGGGGACATGACGTGGGCACAATTCAATGAGATATTCTACAACAAGTACTTTCCCCAATGCTTCAGGGACCGAAAAGTTTCCGAATTCCAAGAACTTAAGCAAGGGAAGATGTCCGTAACTGAGTACGAGGCTAAGTTCACCGAGTTGGCCAGATTTGCTCCTCATATGGTGGACACGGATTATAAGAAAGCATGAAAGTTCGAGGGAGGACCAGATTTGGAAATATTTGGTCGAGTAGGCGTCCTAAAATTGCCTACTTATGTGGAAGTACATGACAGGGCATTGATGGTAGAAGCCATAATAGCAACCAAGAAACAAGCTATAACTCCAACGACAGAATGGAGAAGTAAAAGATCCGGATTCCATTTTAAGAAGGGCCGATCATTTTCGAAGAAGAAAAACACAGGATCTTCTAATAGCTCTTGTCAAAGTAGCGTATCTATTCTAAACTATCCCGACTATGGAAAGAAGCATAAAGGTGCATGCCATCGTGCATCAGGTGCGTGTTTTCGATGTGGCAAGACTGGCTACATGGTTAGGGATTGTCCGATGAGATCCAATGAGGTTAACCGTCCTGTGGCAAGTTTAGCTGGGTTTGTTTCTGCAGCAAGATCAAATAATGCCAGGGGTAACACTGACAATGAAACGTTGAGACAAGGGAGAGTGTTCACACTAGTGCCGAAGATGTACAGAACACCGAGTCTGTGGTGTCAAGTATAATTTCTATTTGTGCCCAGAATGCATATGTCTTGATAGATTTTGGTTCTATACACTCATTTGTGTCGCATGCCTTTTCTCGAAAACTAACTAGACCCTTAGAATCCATGAATTATTTATTGTCTGTATTTACGCCATCTGGGGGTTCTATGGTATGTGCATATGTATAGCCAGCATGTGATGTTCTGATTGGTGATATAACATTGTACGTTGATTTGCTACATTTGAGCATTGACCACTTTGATTGCATATTGGGTATGGACTGGTTAACGAAGTATTGTGCATCAATTGACTGTGTAAATAAATATGTTGTATTTCATCCACCTGGTATGCCTGAGTTTGTTTTCACTGGAAACGGAGTAGTCTCTTCCCCATACTTGATTTCAGCTATGAAAGCTGTTAAATTGCTTAGGAAGGGATGTAGGGGCTACTTGTGTTGTGCATTGACTGCATCATCTGATTGTAATAATGTGGAAACTATTCCTGTTGTTTGTGAATTTCCCGATGTGTTTCCGAATGACTTGCCTAGAGACTTAGTTGATAGGGAAATTGAGTTCACTATTGAAGTGACACCGGGAACGCAACCAATTTCTAAGACCCCTTACAGAATGTCAACCTCAAAACTAAAAGAATTGAAAATCTGACTTCAAGAATTGTTAGACAAGAAATTCATCCGTCCGAGCACTTCACCTTGGGGTGCTTCAGTCCTGTTTGTTAAGAAGGATGGATCCTTGAGACTATGTATAGATTACTGGGAATTGAATAAAGTAACTGTGAAGAATAAATACCCACTACCTCGAATAGATGACCTATTTGACCAACTCCAAGGGGCCCAAGTGTTTTCTAAGATTGACCTGAGATTCGGGTACCATCAGTTAAAGGTCAAGGCAGAAGACATAGAGAAAACTGCATTCAGAACTAGGTATGGGCAATATGAATTTTTAGTAATGCCATTTGGGGTAACTAATGCACCTGCGACGTTCATAGATTTAATGAATAGGGTGTTCAAACAATTCCTGGATGAATTTATTGTTGTCTTTATTGATGATATACTGATTTATTCTAAAAGCAGGGAAGAACATGAGAATCACCTTAGAACTACCCTACAGATTTTGAGAGAAAATAAGTTGTATGCAAAATTATCCAAATGTGAATTTTGGTTTGATAGTATGGCATTTTTGGGACATGTAATTAGCAAGGACGGTATCTCTGTTGACCCTCAGAAAATTAAAGCCATTGTGACTAACTAACGTGTTAGAAATGAGAAGCTTTTTGGGACTTGCAGGTTATTATCGCAGATTTGTTAAAGACTTTTCAAAACTTGCTATGCCATTACCACAGCTAACACAGAAAAATGTACCATTTGATTGGAATGATCAGCGTGAATCAGCTTTTCAAGAGTTGAAAACTAGCTTAGTAACTGGATCGATTTTGACTTTTCTTAATGGTACCGATGGGTTTCAGATTTACAGTGATGCATCCTACAAAGGCTTGGGTTGTGTATTAATGCAAAATGGTAAGGTGATCACCTATGCTTCTCGGCAACTCCGACCACATGAAAAGAATTACCCGACTCATGATCTTGAACTAGCAGCTATGGTGTTTGCTTTGGAAATTTGGCGCCATTATCTATACGGAGTAACTTGTGAAGTGTATACTGATCATAAAAGCTTAAAATACTTCTTTACCCAAAAAGAACTGAACATGAGACAGAGAATGTGGCTAGAATTGATCAAAGACTATGATTTGCAGATTTTGTATCATCCGGGAAAAGCTAATACTGTGGGAGATGCCTTGAGCCGAAAGTCAATGGAAAATTTGTCATGTTTGCTCACTGGTCAAAAAGAATTGTTATGTGACTTGGAAAAGAATGAGATTGAGGTCGTAGTGCGAGAACAAGATGGAATCTTAGCTGCTATCTCCACCCAGCCTGCAATCATTGAAGAGATTAAAGAGAAACAATGCGAAGATGAGTTTTTGAGGAAAATTGTTGATGAGATTGATTCAAAATCGAAATCGGGATTTGTGCTTGACAATGATGTGTTGAAATTCTAGAATCGCTTTTGTGTGCTGGATTGTTTTGACTTGAGGAAACGCATCATGATTGAAGCTCACAATTCAAAATTTGTTATACATCTGGGAAATACGAAAATATATCATGACTTGAAACAGAATTTTTGGTGGCCCGGAATGAAAAGTGTATTGCAGACTTTGTGGCTAGATGTCTATACTGCCAACAAGTTAAAGCCGAACATCAATGACCCACTGGGTTACTACAACCGCTTCCAATACCAGAATGGAAGTGGGAACATATTACTATGGACTTCATTGTAGGATTACCTCGCTTTCCTCTAGGTATGGATTCTATCTGGGTAATTGTTGACCGTTTAAATAAATCTGCACATTTCTTACCTGTTAAATCATTGTATAATGCGAATAAGTTGGCTAACTTGTATATTAATGAGATTGTGAGATTGCATGGAGTTTCAGTGTTCATAGTATCTAACAGAGATCCCAAGTTTACTTCAAGATTCTGGCAGAGTTTGCAACAGGCTTTGGGGATTGAATTGAGATTAAGCAGTGCTTATCATCCAAACAGATGGCCAATTTGAACGGACCATTCAAACATTGGAAGACAAGTTACGAATGTGTGTGTTAGACTTTCAAGGCAATTGGGAGATTTACCTTCCTTTAGCCGAATTTGTGTACAACAACAGCTATCATTCAAGCATTGGGATGGCTTCTTACGAAGCTTTGTATGGTAGAAAATGCCGATCTCCGATATGTTGGGCCGAGGCAAGTGATAGACCCTTGTTGGGACCAGAAATGGTACAAGAAACAACTGAAAATGTGAAATTGATTCAACAAAGATTGAAAACTGCACAAAGCCGCCAAAAGAGTTATGCGGGTGTCCGAAGAAGAGACAGAGATATATGAAGTCAGGGATCACGTATTTATCAAAGTAACTCCGATGAAGGGCCAAACGCGGTTTGGGGTGAAAGGCAAGTTAGCACCGAGATATGTTGGACCGTATAAGATCCTTGAGAAAATTAACCCGGTGACATGTCGGGTAGCCTTACCACTAGTTATGGGGCATATGCATGACATCTTTCATGTCTCAATGTTATGGGATTACTTACGAGATCTGTTACATGTTATTGAGCCGACACATGTGCTTTTGAAAGACGACTATACCTATGAGGAGAGGCCAATTCAGATCATGAACCGTAGAATCAAAAGATTGAGGAACAAGGAAATTTCATTAGTGAAAGTTGATTGGAAAAATCATGGAGGGACTTATGCTACATGGGAAATGGAAAAAGATATGATGAAGAGATATCCGGGCTTATTTCTGTTGGACCCGACATTCTTCTAAAACGAAGGTAACTCGAGTTTGAAGGACCAAACTTCTTAAGGGGGAAAGACTGTAACAACCTCGACCCATGAATAATGTTAATCCATACTTAATGTTTCCCAACGAGTAATTAAAGTGAAATTTTGCATCATATATTGCCTTATTTGTGTTTATATCTGTTTCACGTAGAAAGATCTGTTCATGTTTTCGTTTCAGTTTGCGAATTGAAGGCCTTATCGATATTCGATTCAGAAATTGACTTGACTTATGTGTTAATTAGAAATTTTATAATTTTATGGCAGGTTTAATTGAAATTCAATTCGGAACGATTAAATTGGAATCATTTAATGTCCACTTGATTAGTTTGATCAACAATTAATTAAACTTCTTAACCAAGCCTATATAAGGCTAGTAAGTGCATTAACTCTTTTTTTTTTTTTTTTTACACATCTTCGAGCCTATTCAACAGACAAAGCGTGAGAGAGAGCAAGAGAAAGAAAGAGACCAAGAGTGAGAGTTGATATCAACACTTGTGGTTGGAAAAAATTTGCTAAATTGAAGGACAACTTAGAAATTCAAGAATCAAGCTTCTAGCTCTCATCTTGACAAGCCTAGATAAGAATCCAACCCTTAGAATGAACAATTATGAGGTGTAAGACATAAACTCTAGAGATTTGAGTTGATTAATGTAAGAATTGAATTAGAGATGAAGAGAATCAAACCATACCATGCATGCATGCATATTTCATAACATTTTGAAGTTGTTTTCAAAGATTTCCTCTCATGCATGTTGTAATTCTAGCATGGTTTAAAGAATTCATAACATTTCTCACCATTGAACCTCATTTGATCATGTTTTGGAGGCCATGAACGTAAGTGAATATATGCATGTCATGTTCATATCATGTTCTTACATTTCAAGTTGAATTTTGCACAATTGACATGCTTTTGGGCCTTAATTTCATGAAATGATATTTAAGTCATGATATTTTACAAGTTCCTAAATGATTTCTAGAATTTCGGCCTAAGAAAATGAGTTTTAAGGTGTGGAATTCGAGTTAGAGCTTGAGAGTGCAATATTGAAATTCCAAATTCTGTACTTCCGCTCAAGCGACAGATTCCATGCTCGAGCGGCCAACTTTGTTTTTGTACATTCGCTCGAGTGACCTTAAGTACGCTTGAGCATGAAATGCATGCTCCCAAAAGTTTGCATGTTTTGCAGACCGCTCGAGCGGCGAAAGTTACGCTCAAGCGAGAGCATGAGTCTCACGCTCAAGCGAGAATCGAGCAACCATCGAGCGGAGATTTCACACAACCAGTACTTTTGCAAAGTTTACAGACCGCTTGAGCGGGAGAATTCACGCTCGAGCGTCTCTTCATTTGTTTTGATGTCCGCTCGAACGTAGGAAGTTGCGCTTGAGCGGGGGACCCTTGTTTTCAACATTTTGACCATGTGTTTTCAAATGCATTTTGACATCTTCATTGTATCTTAGGCATTCCTAGGCCAAGATTAAGACACCATAATGAGGATAAGAAGTAGAGACACACCAAGATAAGAAAGAATTAAGTAATGTTCCCGAGTGTGTAATGCAGTACGTGTTCGTTTTGTAACTATGCAGGTCACGCGCCACAAGACGCCTGATTTGCCCATTCTGTCTATTTGCCTTGAAGCCATCTGTTAATTGTGAGTAATAACCTTGTAAAGGTATGTTACTTACAAGTATTTTCTGACTGATATAATATGATATGTTCTCTGAAATGCTATTTGTGAATCATGAATGAATATCCATTTTTCTGAAATGTATTTCTGGCATCCATAGTTCACGTGGCCCTTGCCTGGGGGTAACAATATCGTGGCTACTTCTACACAAGATGTGGACCTTTATGGTCGTCGGTACCGACTATACACATGAGTCTCAAGACCAAGTTGATGTGATAGCTAATGGATGTACCACCTATAACTGTTATGATTTTCGAATAAGTATGTAAATCTAAATTTGTTTTTGATTTGAGATTTGAATATGCATAAAAATATGTTTCTGATATAAACTCTGAGATGGATATCATTAATTAAACTCTTTACCTTGTTATTATTCACTGGGTTTCCTCTCACTCTAGTATTTATGTATGTAGGTGACCAGGCACGTGATCAGGGCCAGAGTTGATGGCCTGGGATTCCATTTTGTCAGCCACCATTTGTGCCTCTCAAAGAGGTTCCGAACCAAGTCAAGTCATGTGGCCATGTCTTTTTGAACATTCAATACTTTATTTTCTCTTGTTTAATGAACAGTATGTTTTTAGTTATCTGTTCATGTGATGACGAATAATTACTGTATCTATGTGACGTCATATGTATGCTTATAAAGTTTGACATTATTTTGTCTTATGTCAGTCTGCACAACTCAATGGACGTTGTATTTCGTATATTTGCTTCCGCAGCCCCTTGATTGTACGTTGTTCTGTTCAGAGGCCTTCGGTAATCTAAGGATTACTGGCAAGTTACGATGTTAAACCTATAGGGGTAGGTTTGGGTTGTGACAGGAACCCACATAGTTGCCACATTATTAGAGCAACTCTAGAGCTCTGAAACATTTTTCATCAAAAAAAATTAGGTAGTGTATTTTTTTTTTCTAACTTTAAAGATTCCAAACGGCATTATATCTATCTCTAATCTATTATATATAGCAATGATTTACACTTGCTTTTTCATTTTCTCATTCTACCTTTTTTATTTTGTATTATTTACTCATTATAACTTGCATTTTAGTTTTTCTATTGTGTCCTTTTATATTTGAAATATTTATCATTTTTGATAGTTCTAATTTAGATGAAGGTTTTATCGTAATTATGCACAAAATCTTAGCCAGTTATAAAACATAAATCTTTTGTTTTTGAGTAAATTACCAATACACCTATGAAATTTTTTTAAAATATAAAATGCCCCTATAATAATAGAAATTACAACTACTTCTTAAAATTTGTAATTTAATAGAACAAATAGAAAAAAAATTCTAATTACTCTCCTATGTGACAATAAAATTATCAAAATTATTCATTGAAAAACATTTTTCAATTCATTAAAAATCCTTAATTAACTTAATAATTTATTTATTTATTTAATGTTGCATACAAATCAAAAAAACAAGCTTTGAATTAAAATATTAAGATGTATAAAATATATAAAAGTGCTTCATTTAAATTTAATTTTTTTAAATTTATAGAAGGTTAAGTCATCTATGCCTCTCATAAAAGATAGTACACAAATAATCAATTTAAATAATCTAATTAATTTACATTTTTTCACACAAATTTTTTATTTTAACATTTTTTTTTTTTTACCTAGTATATATATATATATATGTACATATATATCAGTTGCAGTAATTTATTTTTCTTTTTAATATTTTTGTTGATATATAAAGTCTGCAATATGTTTCTAGCCTTCTATATGTACTGTTTGATTTATAATATATTTTTGAGGACATTACAAAAAAATTCTCCAAGATTTGACCTTTGTAACAAAATAAATATTGACTTTTTAATTTTTGTCAAATTAAAACCTAAGTTGTTGATTTGTTTTTAATCTAAACATTTGGCAATTTTTGTTAAGTAAAACTAAAAAAAAAAAAAAAAAAAAAAAGATATTTTAGACATTACACTCAACAAGAAATGGTATTTTAGATCTTTCAAATACACCTAT